TTTTATATCTTTCGGAAATGCGTTATTCTCAGTAAAAATTTCATGAAAATAGTTGTAACACTTCATCAATAGGTCATGGATTCAAATCATTTTTTTAATCACATAAAGATTTACTTTTAGCCATAAAATGAAATCGAACTTTAGTTATGAATATATCTATTGATAAATTTACTTACTCATAAGAGGTAATCCATTATGATATAAATATATTTTATAAGTACCCATGACATAAGGTCGAAATTTAAGATGCCAAATATGTGTATCTTTAGTTTGTTCAAGTTGATAAGGAACAGATATTCCATTACATGATACTTTTCCCTGTATAGATGATTTTTCAGTAATGACTATAAATCAAAAAGAAAAATTAAATTTTCAATTAATTTTCAAAAAAAAAAAAAGAAATAATTACTTTGTAGACAAACATCATTACCAATTCGAGGAATATCATTTGGTAAAATTTTTTGTATATGAACAAGTGGAAAAGATGATACTGTTGATAATAATGGTGGTGGTAAAATTGAATAAACATCTGTATCAATTGTTTTTCCTTGTATAAGTTGATTATTGAATAAAATTCGAAGTTGATATCGACCAGGTTCATTTGGAATATATTGTATAAGATATTCCTGATTATTTAATTCATGTATATGGCATCGACAAGAATTTGTTGATGTTTGTGGTGGAATTAATTCAGCTTTTAATTGACCTTGTCCAGCTAAACTTGTATTAACTATAAAAAAAAAAAAGAAATATCTAATATTATTATCTTTGATCGAAATAAATCGAAGAATTACCTTTATAAGCAACAGTCGTTCTTACAACAACAGGTTCACTATGTTCAGGAATTAACGAAATACCTTGAATATCATAGACAGTTATTTCAATAGGTGTGCCTATAATAAAATAAAGAATCTAAATGGTATAGAAATATGCGTGATTTTTTTTTTCAGTTTTATATTGATGGTATTTCATTGTGAATAATAAAAAGTTGTTAAGGCATTCCCCTCAAAAATCGATCTCAGCCCAGAAACATTCAAATTGTAAAGCAAATATTGACCAAACCAAATTTCTCAGTCCAGGTTCATTTCAGAGATTTAAATTTTTTTTCTTGTATGAAAGAACATGTCAGGATGCAGTGCAGTATTTTTTTAAGGGAAGAAAAGGGATTGAAAGTTTAAAAACAAGGCGTCGAGTAAAAATTTTTATCCTTTATGAAAGGTCAAATCATAGACTATCTTCCTATGCATTTATCTTAATTTCGACCATTCTAACGAAAAATGACTTTTTTTTTGAAGGGGAAGCCTTAAAATGATTCAATTTGAATAATAAACGATTAGCTTATTATAGTGAAGATACTGCATTTTTTGAATGAATGTCATGGTAACAGAAAAACTGATTTTCAAATTTCGACTTGAAACTTTGTATACGGACAAGCCATCTTATCACTGTTCCTATCCTAAGATACAATTATGATAATATCGAGTCTTTTACCAATGTTTGTCTCTATGTAAAGTTTCAAATCGAAACTCGAAATTTTCCTGCTACCATGGAATTCATTTAAACTATATCGCAAAAATGCAATGTCTTCACAGCAATCAACTAAGGATCGAAGTGCTTTTTATGATATTCATAGTTTACTAAGATCAACATGATGCGCATAGCCTCCATTCAAAAATAATTAATCAGTTAAGAGACTTCTCTCTTTAGAGAGAAAGAAATAAACTGAACAATCATGACAGTATCCGACGCTTCTCTACTCTCACATGCACCCGCAATTCGAATGTTGACATCACTGTTATAACGCAAATGTTGCCATCTTCAATCTTAATTTATATGTAATAATTGATGAACATAGCTATAATAAAATCGCTTGATAACAATATAAAACAGCGTTCATGAACTAAAAAATTTATTTTTTGAAATCAATGGATTCTGAATTTAACGATACAATATTCAACAAAGTTCTTTTCTCATTAGACCAATATTTTAAAAAAATCGCTTTTTCTTCACAAAATATTTGTTTCATTCTTTTTGTAGAACTTCTAAATTTAGGACCTATGAGCCGAATTTTCAGAAAATCGTAAATTAAGTTTGAATGAACTTTAGCGCAGTCTACAGCGAATGAAAGAACAAACACTTCTCAATAAAATAGGATATTAATGATTAATTAGCTATAAGCCATTTGTTATGTTCAAACTCAATTTTTGTACTTCTAAAAGTTCACTTCATAACTTCTAAAACAAAATTCTGATTCTAATTTTTTGATCATTCATTATTCTCTTACAATAAAAATAATTTAATCTAATTTTTATTACGTATAATTCTTTACTAAATTCGATATAAAAATTTTCGTAATTGACTTATTCATTTTTCTTCTTTCTTTTATTATTATCATATTTATTTAAGATGATTATATGATTATAATAGAACGAATGACAATATTCTTCTTTGATAAAGTGTTAATTATGCCTATCACTTTTGATTATTACAATTATCTACCGACACAAATTGAAATATATTTCTTAGTGTTCACAAATACTTTTTCTATAACAAAAATCATACATTAATTCTTTCATAATGAATACAAATCGATATGTATAATAGTGGTTATCCATGATAATTTATATCCGATCTGAAACAGAGATCGGCACAGTGCGCATAAATTAAGCTCGAATATGAAATGAAAAATTCTGATTGTTTTTTTAATGTTCAGTATTCATATCTTGTCTACATCATTTCAAAAAAAGATGTTTCATGTCACATCTATTTGAAATCAATTGAAATAGTACTATTTTTATGTGATTGAGTTGAATCTTAATCTTATGCTTTGTTTCGTTTTTTTGAAAAAATCTTACGATGAAAACTAATTCGTTTTTAATCTAATATTTAATCATTCATCAGATGGGTTCATGACTTCAGTATATACAGAAATGTTTTATTTCACAAAACTCACTCTTACTTCCCCTCAGTGTTAAGTCAATTTTATCTAAATATTTTTTTGTTTGAACCGAATTTTATTTTATTTCTTAGACAACACAATTACAAGCGTTACTTGATATAAACTTCTCACTTAATCTCTTGAATGATTTGCTACAGACTAGACTTAAGGGTCAAACGTTAATGTAAAAAAAAAGATTTGTTTTTTCCGTAAAATCTAAATAAAAAAATTCAAGATTTGCACATTAACAATCAAGTGTTGGATAGGTGACTAAGAGAAAAACAGCACGCATTCCTAATGTCCATTTCAGAGGTAAGTAGCTTTGGGCATATATTTTGAATAACTTTTAATAGGAATGAGATAGAGACCTGCAGTTTTCGCTTCCAACGGTGAAAACCACAAATCTCTATCTCATTCCTATCAAAAGTTATTCAAAAAATTCCCACGGCTACTTATCTCTGAAATGAATATTAATATTTAATCATTCATTGGATAGATGCATGACTTCAGTACAAAAAAAAACCAAGATTTCATTGGAGTGTTCTATCTAGATTTTATCTTCTGGGAAGACAATTTAAAACTTAATCCAATCTTCGAAAGGGGTACCATCCTCCTTCTTCGATTCCTACGCTGAATATCAATATTTAATTGATCCGAAAGCTTTCATCATTAATTATCATTAAGTCAAGATTCATTTAATTATATACTGAATGTGTTTATTTATGCGACACTCTAATGAAATTAATCGACAATAAGTTTCTGCTCTGAAAACATTTCTTTGATCAGTCAAAAAATACAAATCATACCAAAACAAAATTTTCTATATCTTACAAATCAATTATTATCTGACAGAAATGAATCTATGATGGTATTACTATTTATAGTTATGAACATTTCGAAAATAACATCCTAAAGAAAAAAAATCAAATTGTATATATCCTATTGACTTATTTGTATAACATAAACTCGGTTAAGATATTTTTTTCAAAGTTATTCGAATTAAACTGTGCTTATTCGTTTTTATTTCTGAACATTGATCATTTCATTTGTTTCGACAACAAACTGTTTCTGATGTAAATGATCAAAGCATAATAACAGTATATCAATTTGTTTCTCTTCGAAAAAAAACCAATATAGACAAATTCTCATACTATGTCAATGACAACAATAATATATCGTTTCTAAGCTGATTATCATATCTTCAAAACAACGACAACACATATAACTTCTCTCATTAATTGATAAAGATGACAAATCAGACATAAAGATAGATAATGAAGAAAAAAAAAAAGAAAAAACAAAAAGGTGAGAAATCATTGGTTGTCAAGACATTTTTTAACGAATCTTATTTCATATATAATCGTCATTTTCGAATATATCACAACAGAATTCAAAACGATGTCAAACGAGAAACAACAACAACATAGTCCATATGATTACTCAGTAAAACGTTTATTATCACAGGATACAAATTCTACATCAACTGGTAAAGAAAAAAAAGAAAAAGAAAATTCATAGATTAAAAATATAAATAAAATATTTCTAGATCGATCAAATATTCTTCTATGTCCACCACCAAAAAATCGTGCTCGTCGTGCTCGAACTTATTTTGATGATCGTTCAATTCAAATACTTGAACATGCTTTTTTACAAGAACAATATCCTGATATTCATCGTCGTGAACAATTATCAAAGGAAATTGGTACAAGTGAAGCACGTGTACAAGTAAAAAAAAAAAAAGAATGAAATTCTTCTTTATCTTTAATAATTTTAAGGTTTGGTTTCAAAATAAACGATCACGTTGTCGAAAACGTTTATTAACAAAAACAATAGTTAATGAAAATACTATTGAAAATGATGAAACAAATTCAAAATTAAATCATAATAATACATTTGATGATTTACAATCTCGAACACCAATGAAAACAATTCCAACAACAAATATTTTACCATTTACTACTCCAACACCTGTTCAATCACTTTTGGCTACACATTTTCCTTTTTTTCTTCAGCATTTCTATTAATATGTTTGTTTCTTTTGTTTTTGTTTTTTTTTTGTATATTATTTACATAATAAATATATACACTTACCGTTAATTGGAATATTTCTATAAGCTATATAAATTTTATATGTACCAATTTTTGATGGTAAAAATGATATTCGAATACGATTTTTTGAAAGATTTTGAATTTGACAAGGAATTCTTATTGGTTTTAATGGATCATAAATCATAACAAAAAATTTTCCTTGACCAACATTATCAATATTACCTAAATGAAAGAATAATTAAATGTGTGATAAATAAAATATAAAGTGTGAAATATATAAAATACATACAGATAAAATGACAATCATTTATTGATTGTAAACGATTAAATGGTTCGATATGTGTTCCATTTGGATTATAAACAGGAAAATTATATGGACAACCTAAGAGAATTTATAAAATATTTTCAATTATCATTCCTAAAATTACTGATGACAGAAATTCTCCTAGTGATTAATTGTTTTTCAGTCGCGACTACGAAAATCAGAACATTTCCTTTGGATGGATCGGACGGCCCGTTTCTAGAGCAATATGATGTTTTTCAACTGCATACTGTGACTCCGCCCATAAAAATTAATTTTTCGATTTTCAATTTGTAAATTAGCATATAGACGAAAGCCATCACGCCAGTAGATATGATGTTCTTATCAAATTAAAAGATTTGAAATTTTTACAATCGTCCTGTCGTTATACAAAGTTTGAAATCGAAATTGAAAAATCAATTTTTCTTAATGGGAGAAGGAGCATGGTATTAAATGTATCGCTTCCTTTGCTGACTCAAAATTTTTAGTTTCTTTTATTTTTCGTGTTTGGTATGTGGATTTAAATGCCTCCAGTGTTCTTTGCTTCTCCTAAGAATCAGAGAGTGTAGTATTACCATTTGCTGGAGGTAAAAACTTCCGTTCATTTTCAGCCTTTAGCCTCCTAAAATCTCTCTGACGAGAGCATTTGGGAATTCCGTTGGATACTCTAAATGAAATTTTCTAATTGGAATTGGATAGTTGCTTCGAAGATACAAGATATCTTGTATTCAGTGACTAGTGTATCCATTGGGTTCAAAATTATCTCTGGTTCTAACTCAAAGAAAAATAGTATTTTAATGATAGAATATTTTGTTTCATGTAATTTAAATTTTTACTGATTAATCTTTACATTTAGACGTATTTTTATAATGTTTTTTTTTTTTGTATTTATTTCTTTTATTATACCTGGAATAAGTTGTCCAATATAATCTTTTAATATAATTAAATAATCACCAGCAAGTATTGGCCGAAATTTAAGTAAAAAAGTATCATCATGTCTACGAATTGCTACTAAAGGAATTTGTATACCATTTATTGTTATATGTACATAAGCAACATGAGGTTGATCAACTATTTATTTTAAAATAAAATGTATATTACAATAAGAGTTATCATAACAAAAAAAAACTTACTTAAGAAATGTACATCACTATTAATAAGTGGATAAGAATTTTGTAAAAGTATTTTGAATGGATATGGTCGAGGATCTAGAAATGATCAATTATCTGAATAGTTTATGAATATTTATTTTATACACTTAACATAAGATTCTTTGCTACGAAATAAATATAAAATAGAAATTTATTTAAGTCTCGTTTTCATTTATGATCAAAAGTCTCAGACAAATTCTAACAAATGGTATTCCGCTGTTGTTATAAAGTCTTACAATAGACACTGGGTTCTATTTTAAGTAGGGAGCTGCGGATCTACGTTTTTGTGAACTTAAACTCTAACAAAGTTCAAAATTTCGATCCGAACCCGACAAAAAAAAATAAAACTTTGATCTCGGCTGGACCCGCAACTCATTACTCTTAAGAAATTTTCTCAAAGTTCTGTACGTTCGAAAAAATACATAAGATCGAACAGCTTCATATTTGATAAGAAAAACGTCAGCATTTTTTTTTTTTATCATACCAAATACAATATCAATTGCTTGTCCACGTTCGAATTTTTCTTTTATTAATTGTAATCGTTGAATTTCAATTTCATTCAATGGTTTATATTGTGATTTTAATTGTTGTTTTTCTTCTAATTTTAATATTTGTTCTTTTTCATATTCTTTATTTAATAAGAAATTTTTTTGTCGTTTAAGAATTTCATTTGATTTTGCTAATAGAGAAGGTATAGTTTGTGAAGATAATGATGGTGACTTTTCTTGGTGTTGTTGTTGTGCAAGTAAAAATAATTCATGTTTAGAATAAATTGAACGTCCACGTTCTTCGAGTTCAGGTGATTGAACATTTTTAATTGTAGATTCTATTACAAGAAAAATACATATATCATAGGAATATGTAACGGTGACGGTGCTCTGCTTCTTCAATGTTACGTATAGTTTTGCATTGCTCTAGTCGACTCTCCCCAACAAAATCCCTGGGAAGTCCTTGAATTCCGTCTTAAGGGGGTCCCCCTTAGAAAGTCGAATTTTTCAAGGGAATATCGAAGTTGAGTTTTTATCACAGGAAGATGCAGCGAAGCTTCCTCTTTAAGAATATGTATAGCTTTTTGGAAAATGATCAGATTTTCAAAGACTTATCATATAAAACTTTGACTCTACTACCATATTTTCGTGATTTTTCAGGTGTTTCAGTTTTGGAAAAACTGCGTTGCCACTTGTATTAGCGTTGAGTAAAACACATTTATATTACCCAACATGTCAGATGGCGTTAGTTACCTTCATCTCTTACGTAGTCTAAAACGATCCACTGGAAAGAATTAATAATATACCATTGTAATATGATTTTTTCTGGATTTGAATGAAAAAATCCAGTTCTAAAATTTCTTTAGCGTTTTACTCAAAATACGGCTTCCAGACAGAAAAATTGAAGTAACTCCGCCCTGTTTCAAGGTATAACCAATAGTTTTTTTCTGTTTTAAAGGTCTTAATGAGAGTAAATTGTTATCCGAACGGATTTTTTATAGCTGGTTCCTGGACTAAGAAAAGTAGGATTTACTGTCGTTGGACCACCATTTTTTATGCTAATTTTAAGACCATCACACTAAAATGCTCATAAAAAATGAATGAGATTGAATTTCAAAATTCTGTTCGGACAAAAGTTGCATACTCACATTGGCTTTAATTTGACACCAACCCGAGCTCTCCTACTCTATCTTACGACGAAGTTATATCGATTCTCCTGAAGGTCAAAAATGACCTGTGAATCAGCTGGAAATCCGGTCTAGTGCGATCAATCGAGCTGAAATTTTTACCAGAAGCGTATCTCTCCAAGACCACTCATTCCTGGAAATTTCAGCCCAAAAGGATCATCTTAAGTGGAAAATCATTTCTGAGGGGAGCCCTTAACTCTTCCAGAGACTCACGAAAGGGATTCTCCAGAGAATTCTTCTACGATTGTCTAAACATGTCCGTATAGAAGATCAGAATAGTTTTATTATGCTGTGCATCGTTTTCACCTTTATTCTGTATGTGCATGTCTAGACCGATGATCATCGGTGTATCCTTAAAAATTATCAATCGAAATATTGTACTTACTTTGTTTTATATTTTCAACTAATATTTGAGATGGTGTTTCAGTTATGGGAATTTGATTGAATAGTATTGAAATAGTGTGTAGACCTAAAGGTATATTTGAAGTGGAGATGTTAAGATTTTTAAATTTTTTACCTAAAACAATTGGTGTGAATTGAATTATAAGTTGTTCGTTTGATTGTTTTTGAATAATAATAGGTAAAGATTGATTATTTGGATCTAGAGATTAGAATTGATGATATATTTTTTAAAAAATGTGATAAAATCTAAAACCTTTTATAATAATTTTTAATGTTCCTTTTCCAGCTTTTGTTGAATCGATATGAAAACAAGTTGCTGTATTTATTTGTATATTTTTAGGAAAATTTATAACGTGTACAGCCGATGGATCAAATGCATTAACTATTAATGGACTATCATTAATTAATTCTTTTTGTTTTAATATATAAATTTTAATAGGTCCTAAAATCATTATAATAATCAAATATTTTTATTAATACAACAAAAATATAAACATACCAACGATAGTTGGTTCATATGAAATACATTTTCGTCCATTAGAAAGATGTTCTGTTTTATAACCAATAGAATTTCCATTAGAATCTATGCAAATTATTAAAATTTAGTAACAAATAACAACATTATTTCAATCGATCGAATCGAAATCTCGGATGTTTGATCACATAAGGTTCTATATCAAATTATATAGTGTTATTTATATGCAATGAAGCTACACATAGTACCCGATTTTAACATAAGAGAAATTAGAAAATCATAAATTTTCATTTATATAAATATCAATTGTATGCATAGAAATGATAAATAGTGATACTTTGTTTTATACTAAAACTATTCTATCAATTCAATTGATCAGAAATTGGTTTTTGAATGTTCAATGAATGCTATACAATCAAGAAAAGAATGATTTTTATTGTGCGGACTTAGTATACGAGGAAACACTTCAATCTCATCACTATTCATACCATCAACATTAAGTTAGAGGTGTCAGTTTCAAGTTTCCGTTCCTAGAAAACCGGAACTAGGAGTGGCATTTTTACAGTCAAAACGCCACATCAAATTTCGCACTCCTAGGAACTGAAACCCATTAGTGACTTGCTACAGAATGAAAGAAAAGATATGTACACTTAGGTCTAACCAAAAGTTCTAAGAACATTAAAGAGTAATATAAAGATTTGAAGATATTTTTAATTTTATTTTATAAAATGTTGAGAATAGTTATCATATCAAGTTCAATCCTTTCGACACAATCTACTAAAAGTTTTTTTGATCTCTTTTTCTAAAAAAAATTTAAGCTACCTTGGAAATCATATGATCTAATTATATTTTATTTGTTTTAAAAATTTAATAGAATTCTGTTCTTGAATGTCAGTTGCATTCTAGCACTACTAGTGATGTGATATCGATTTATTTTAGATAGATTAGTCATAAGTCATCTAATGCTAACTGGCTTATTGAAGATGAATTGACAAAGACAAGACTGTAGATGACAATTATTATATTGAAAATTGTCCGAAGCCTTTTGTTAATGAAATATTGAAACAAACATGAATATTAGATTTAAAATGTACGAAATTGTTTGACGATCATTGTTGATTTCATACTCATCCAATGTTATTAATTCTGTGACAGAAGAAGACATCAATATAATGTCATACCCAACGTATTTGCCAGGCCTGATACCATATAATTAGATCATGTGGTTTCCAAGGTAACTTAAATTTTTTTAGAAAAAGAGGTCAAAAAAAACTTTTAGTAGATTGTGTCGAAAGGATTGAACTTGATATGGCAACTATTTTCTACATTTTATAAAATAAAATTAAAAATATCTCTAAATCTTTATATTACTCTTCAATATTCTTAGAACTTTTGGTTAGACCTAAGTAAATAACTTCGTTTGTCTATGTTAATTACTCAAATCTACAACAAATCTAATAGAGAGAAAACTTTCAATTCAATCGATTGTGTATTTATATGAAATGAGAAAAACAATTGATTCTAAATCTTTTACCATGTATGATAACATTCAATTTGTCATCTAGATCTTTGAAACTAAATTTTGATATATTACGAACACATGGATCGATTAGATCAGTTATATCAAGTGTTTGTACTTCAGGGCTTAATCGATCACTAACAGTTGGTGATTTAAGAGATTCATTCGAAATTATAGGCGAAATAATTATTCCATCTTCTCTAATTGGAGATGATGTGCGTAGAGGTGAAATTGATGATGGTCTTGATGAACGAAATTCAGATGCTTCACTAATTGTTGTTAATTCTCTACATGGAGAAAATGAATCTATTGTACTATGTGTATCATTATTATTATTATTATTTTCATTTGATATTGTTTTTTCATGTGGTGAAAGTCCATCCATTGGTGATAATGATATATAATCATCATCATAAGCAAATATTGGTAATACAGCAAAAGAATCATTATCATCATTTGATATACATATCCAATGAGTACCTTTGATTAAAAAAAAAATTTTGTTTTAGTATAGAAATTTTATTTACATATTAATACTTACCAACACGAATAGGTGATAAAGATATTGTTAATTCACCATGTTCATTGTTTGAACGTTGAAATGATATTGGTCTTTCAAATGGATCTTAGAAAGAAATCATTTTTTGAATAATTATTTTAAGAAAAAAAAAACATAACTTACCAGTAACACTTATTTCTAATTGATTATTTTGATCAATAATACCTGAAAATGTATGTTCAAGAATTTCTTTAACTTGTACACGAAGTACAGGATCATATGATTTTTGAGCACTAAAAGCCATTATACGAATAGGACATATATCAAGAAGATTATTTTGAGTACGAATAAATACTTCATGAATATCTAATTAATACAGAAAAAAAAACAAATTAAGATAATTAATTGAAATATCATCTAATAAAAGAAATAAGTATACATATTTTGGCAACACATTCTATTTAGAATGTAATTTTTTTTTCATTTTCTAATAAAATATCTTAAAATAAAAATTTAACAATTACTTTTATTTCGAAAAGAAGTCAATAGTGAATTAGATATTTCACTATCATGATCAATTTACCAGAGACTTTTTTTATAATATCCAAACACATTTCCTCTTAACTATCATTGGTTCGTTTCTCTGTATTATCAGGTATATGATATAATTCATTCGTCTGGTAGTATATAGAAAGAAGAATATCTCTGCTTAGCAGCAGATTTAATTGCTTGATATCATCCCTACAATCATGACTAAGTTGTAGCTCTGAACAGAAGACCGATCTGACGGAGAGTTTTTCCACTATATTTAGAACCCATCGGATCTAAGGAGTTTTAACTCAAGCTCTTCGTATACATTAACTAATCATAAGAGTAAGTTTATGTCACAACTTAATCAGCATGCTATCGAACGAGTAACCGAATCAAATAGCCATTAGTAGAGATCTGTGGAGTCGGGTTTTTTTATTCCGAAATTTTTTTCTCAAAAGCACACGACTTCTAATGTATTGTATTGTTTAATTTTGAACATAGTATCAATCGATAAACAAACAAAGGAATGAAAGAAAATCAAAGAATCATCGAAAAGATTAATTTTCAATTTCTTTTCCATTGGCTGTGCAGTGAAAATAAATGATATAACAAAATTTTTTGAATTATGGATTTTGTTCTCTGATATTAACTGTAAAAACTAATGAATTTTAGAGATTCTAACGATATATTATCAAAACTTATGGACATGAATAGATTTTGATAACACATCGTTAGAATCTTCCAAATGCATTAGTTTATACCGTAAATTCTAAGAGAACAAAATAGTGATTTGGATAGCTCTCAAAGGGGAACTTCAAGTTATAGAGGATTTTGCAATATAAGCATCTCAAAGAGCAGAAAATTCTGAACAAAATCAAGGATCGTCCAGCTCTCTACGATATTCCCTCATAGAGTTATAAGCATTAGAAAAAAACGCGTGTTTTCATTTTTTCTAATACTTATAACTATGTGACGGAATATCGTAGAGAGCTAGGTAACCCTTGATTTTTTTCAGAAAAACTCTCTTGACAAAGTTTCTTTTGAATATTTGACAGGTATTCTATTCGATAGAGAATTTCAAGAACTATCCAAATCACTATTTTACCCAGCTACTCATCTTCAACGAAAAGCTTCAAAAATGAAAATGTCTTAAACTTTTGCGGTCCATTTTATATATATACTAAACAGAATAAAAACATATATTTATTATTTACCTGTTCGAACAGGTATATATTCAATAACAAGATCTCTGCTTAAATCTCGATAAAATGCAGCTGGAATTGTATGAGCTAATGCATCTATAAGAGATCAAATATATATTTTTTTTTGAATAATTAATTTCTTATTTTACCTTTAACAATAACATTAATATCATCTCCAATAATTTTATTACGATCAATAATTAATCGTGTTATATCTTCAATACCACCATTACGAAATATATCTATTCTTTCCGTTAAACAATATATATCAAATAATTGTTTATTATTATCATCATCTATAATATTCAATTGATAATAACCTAGAAATAAAAATATTTCAAAATATAAAAAACCTATAATAAAATTGTTTGTTTTTTTTTTCTTGTTACCAGTTGCAGTTAATGAATAATAAATTTTCCATTCTAATGAATGTCTTTCGATTTCAATTGGAATTTCATTATTATTTGAAGCTTCAAAAAAAAAAAAAAAAATGAATAAAAATTTTATTTTCTTTAGAAACAAACAAAAAACCTTACATATTAATTGAACTTTAATATTCTCATTATCAGAAACAATTGAAATAAAATTAAGAGCATTAGAATAAACAATACGTTCACCATAAATATATCGTTCATAATCTAATGGTAATATATCTACTGATGCAAGATTTATTGGTTGTTTATCACTACCAGTTTGTATTTGATAAATACCAACTTTTGTTGGTTCAAATTCAATACGCCATCGTCCCTCTAAATCTTGTATTCGTGTATGTTTTATAATAGTTTTATCTGGATCTAGAAAAAAAAAAAGATCGATCAATAAATCTTTTTTTTTTTTTACACACAAATGAATATACCTGTAACATATACACTAAAATCTTCATATATATCAGTTAATGATGTTTCACAAATAATCCAAGCTATTTCACCAACTTTTGTACCTTCTATTTGTCCACCAATTAAAAAATCAATATCATTATTATCATTTTCATCTAAACTATTATTATCATCAATTATTAATGGATTATTAATATTAATCATAAATGGACTTCCTTCAATAGGAATACCATTAAATGAAATAATAATTGAATGTAAACCAGTTATTTTAGGTATAAAAGTAATATCAAATTTTCTTGTTTGATTATTTTTTAATTCAACTGGTAATGTACGTTGTCCATCATTAACTATAACTTCTAAATGACCTTCACCAGCATCATATGTATCAACAGAAAATATTAATGGTTTACCAACAAAACCATTTTTAATAGAACTAATATGAATTTTATTTATATTACAAACATCAACATAATTTTTTGATAGAAGTTTTCCATCATATGATATTGATACAATATGTTGACAAGCTATATTTGGTATAAAAGATATTTCATAATGTTTTTTATTATTTGATATTGATGTCATTGTATGTGATATAATTTGTCCAGAATGAGATTCAGTTATAAGTATTTTAATAAGATTTGAATCAGCAACATCGACTAATTTTTTTTTTGTTTTGATTTTAAATAGAAATGTATTTATTGTAGATTAAAAATGAGAGGACGGGGGGGAAACAGCAGATATTTCACTCTTCTGAACAATGTTTTTAATGGCGGGCGTATCAAATAAAAGCTCAGAATAGGGAGGAAAGTTACTGTTACATTACCAAGTAATAGACAAAATCGTGAGTTTTATTTTTTTTCACTAAGAGAAAGATATCGAAAATAATGATTTTTAATAAAGTTTAACCAAAGTTTTCTCTTCAGTCAAATTTTTTGAAGTGTCATGAAGTCTGCTGTTTCCTCCATCGATTAAACAAGTTTATTAAACTTACTAGTAAAAGTAATTGGTCGACCAACAACACCTGAAGGAATTGATGAAACATGAACTTGTTCACAATCATTCCTTACTGGTATTATTAATGTTCGCACTAAATAGAGAATTATATGTCAATTGATTCAAAGAAATGTACTATAACATAGATTGATTATGATAGATATGATTTTAAGGAAAACGCAATTTGCTATTTGATTTGTTCTCGAAATTTTTAACGTTTAAAGGACAATTTTTGTATCTTAAAATGTACTCAGTAGATAGATACTATACAAAAGCTACAAAAAAAAAAACACCAAAAATTTTCGGTTACGAAAAGGAGTATCCTTCATACGGATTACAATCTTGAATAACATTTGTTAATAGAGTCATTCTATGGTTCGTGGGTCACATTTTGACTTTTGAATTTTTTTTTTTTTCTTCAAAATCTGTGTTTTATAAGATTATATTACTAGCTCCGTAGTGTTAAAATAAGAACTATAATCTGACCATAAACATAATTCTATACTAAATGCTTAACTAAAGAATGCGATCGATGAAACATTGAAGGATCTGTTAACAAATATTATTCAAGAATGTATTTAAAAAACTGAGAAAGTGAATCAACACTTTGTATCTTCGTACTATTCATTTTGTTTTCCTAATATCTTAAGATGATTTCAACATATACGAAAATGTAGTTCCATTTTCATAGTTTATCAGCTCTCTATATGGGCACTGATTTTTTTTAGACCATACGGTATAGTTAAACCTCTCTTACATGAGCAGATTTAGTGAATATTTTAATCAGTATACTATTCTTTTTCTTCTCGTCGCTCTTTATTGTTCTGAGAATAGGAAAGAGAAAAGTTAGTCTGAAATAACAAAGAAAATAACTCATCTATACATTTCTAATTGTGTCGTCAAAGATAAAAAGATTATAAATAGTCGTGTTAGTTAACATTACTCTTTAAAATCATTGAGAAATGACATCGTGCCATTACCTTACGCTTAACGAGAAGATCGCATTGATTAACAACTATGCCGATAGAGTTGGACTATCACACTGCAAATTGTGTGAGAAATACAAGATATCAAAGAATACTGTGTACAATATTCTTCAGTGATAAGACGAATACAAATTACAAGACGAGTGAGGTCATAAGATTGATGAAACTGGGTAATGCTTAGATTGATTTAAAAACTAACAAGCAAAGTTCAATTATGAATTTTGTATGGATGCTCTTTATGACGTAGCTTGTGCGAAGCATATTTGTGATCAGCATCTGTCAAAAAAAGCTCTATAACGCGGGTACCTCCGTTAGGTAGGCGATTTGAAAAAGTCATGCAGATGTCCCATACTATGGTTCTTTTGATTTCAACCTGAATTTAGAAGAAAAAACGACATTCGATTTCAAACTGAAATGCGGATCTTTAGAATTTTTATCATGATGTCATAATGAAAATTCTAAAGGTCCGTAAGACCCATGGTTTTTATGAAAAGAGGTCCTAGTTTTTTTTTCCAAAATTCAGCTTGAAATGAAAAAGACCATAGACTCAGGTGCCGATCTAAGGGAGGTTTTGCTGTATTTACTATACTAGACTAAAAATGATGTTCTTCAATGTCACTCAAAACTTATCACAGGCATATTGCACTGCACATTCCCTATTTTTCAACGGGAAGACACAACTAAAAAATAATCTAACGAAATGCCACTTAATTTTTTATCTTAATATTATAGCGTGTGGTGTATGATCAATTTCTAGCATCACTGTATATATATATATATATATATGTAAATGTTTTTTAACCATAAACTCTATATTTTATATAAAAAATAAGATTCGTAAGCTTTACTATAACTTTCCATCTGACTGAAGATAGAATTTTTCTTGCTTGTTAAGTTCTCTCATATGTAATTACTATCAAAAACATATCCAACGAAAGATTTGAAATACAAATTTGTTCAAGATTAATCCATATGATGAAAGAAAATTTATTTTTTAATCTTAAACTACGATCAAGATAATCGAAATAATCTTCAACTATGTGTATAGCACGTCTGTAATAAAAAGATAGTCTCTGAACAGTATTTTTCAATTTAGATTACAAGTAGAGGTGTACGCCGCCGCTATAAAAAAATTGAAACGATTATAACGGTCGTTACAGAATAGCCTGCAAAATCGAATCGGTAACTGCTGGAAATTTTTGCCCGCAATCCTTCTGTTTAACCTCTAATTACAAGTTCAAGATAAAGATTTTATCTAAGTTATATCAGTTACATCTATTACCGACTGTCAGCATATATTTTAAAATACGTACGATAATTTTCTCCATTAAATGATATGTGTAGAGTACATTCATCTGTAGTTTCGGGTGTAAATGAAATTTGATAAATATGAGTGGAAATTCGTGTTTGTTCATGTAATATTTTATTTCCATTTTGTTTTATTTTAACAGATAATACACCATTACCAGCTTCAGATGTATCAACTATTGCGAAAAAACAAAAAAAAAAGATTTAAAATTTTGAAAAAAAAAAAAATTTTTTTACTTGTAAATTTATACAATTGATGAATAATAGCAAGTGGTAAATCACTTATACGTATTTTACTTATATCATAAACTTGACAAATAAATATTGTCATAATTAATTTTTTTTCTTCATTATCATAAAATATTATTTCATGTTTACCAATTTCATTTGGTATAAAATCCATCATATAAGAATTCATAAAATTTTTTTCAATTTTTCCTTTTATTTTATTACCCATTGGAGTTATTATATTAACATGAATATTTGGATTAAAATATAATTTTGGTTTAATTAAAAATACTGTACGTTTATTAATTGCTGCATATTCATAATTTTCAAATATAAAATCATTTGAAAATACATTACATTGAAAAGGTGATCCTATTTAATAAAAATATCTTGTTTTTTTTCTTTCTTTAACTGAAACTATCAAACATCGAATATTTTTTAAATACACATATAGACAATCAATATTTCGAAAATTGAAAAAATATTCTTCGTACCTTGAATATCAATTCCATTAAATTTCATTTGAACTTGATGCATACATGGTTGATCAGGAATAAATTGAATACGAAAAAACGTATTACCTTCATTTTGTACATAATTCGGAATATTTTTTCCATCTCTTGATACAGCTATTTCAAGACTACCGGCACCAGCATCTGTTGCATCGACTAAATATTTGAAATAAAAATTAAAAAAAAAAAGAATCTAAATTAAATATTATTTACTCATAAAATAAGTTGATGAACCAACAATAGCTGATGATGGAAAATTAAGAACTTTTATTTTATTAACATCAAATGATCGTGCTATGAATGGACTATAGTCGATTTGAATATTATCAAAAAAAATTTCTATATAAAATTCACCTATAGAAAAAAAAACGAATAAATTTATTTCGCAAAAAAAAGAACAAGTCTATAACTGACCAACACAATCAGGTATGTAAGTAACTTCATACCGATTTAAATCAATTTTTGTTATACGACATTCGATTAAATGATCATCTGGTCCTGAAAATATTTATAAATTTCATTTTATTTTGAATAATAATTAAAAAAATTAGAACTTTTTAAGATCGTCACCAGCACACCTTTTATCGAACATTTCAATTCTTTAATAACACCATTAGGTGTTAAAACAGTAAATGATGTTGGAATATTGATTGGAACTAAACCAAGACCTTTACCAATTGCAACTACACGTTGTACTTCCATAACATTTATAGAAAATGGACTTCCTAAATTAGTTATCAATCATATTTATATAAAAAATAATCATCATAATCAATCTTTTTCTTTCTTTTTTTATAAATATAAAAAAAGTATGTAAAGATGCTTGAAATAAGATTGACATTTTTATTAACAACAACCGTACATATATAGAATTTTCATACAAATTAAAAATTAAATTGTTTCGCTCAAATATTCATTCATTTAATTTTTTTCTCGCTTAGCAAAAAAAAAAAAAAAGAAAAGTTGATGCGCTTGAAAGAACGGCACATATGTCCAGTGTCATTTTTTTTCTTTTCATTTTGCCTCGCCCATTTATATATTAGTATGTCAATGCAACAAAGTTAACAACTGTACATATCTAACAAGAAAAAAAAAAAAAAATAGAAGTCGAGTAGTAATCTTCTTTAGTTAATTATATCTTTTGAAAAGTCATTGATTAAATCGCCATAGGCTATACGAGAAAGATTAATGTATACTATTAGTGATATCTAAATAAAATAAAAGCGTGAAAAATAAACCTTGTCAATCTCAAGTATATACACACTAAATTGATCATCTTTTTTTTTTTTTATATACAAAAAAAGAAAAAGGATATTTCTCTAGCTGATTTATATATTGTTGATAGATATATATGCAAGATTATTTACCTGGTACATGTTCATTATTGAATAAGATATTGCAATAATGTACTACTGCTTTTTGTGGAATAAATTGAATTTCATAACAACTATTTCCAACCGGATTAATTTGATTAGGAATATTACGACCAGAATAATTGACACTTATTTCGAGATAACCTTCACCTGCTTTTGATGCATCGACTATTTCAAACGTCAAAAAGAAAATATATGGGTAATTCCACTGTATATGTGACAAGTTTACATCGATTTTCATTTTTCAAATCATGTAGAGCATAGTCTACTATGATAACGAAAGATCAGCTATAAATTGTAATGTTGAAGAGATCAGCGATTTAGAAAATCAATGTGAAATATAGCTAATACTATACAAAAACAGTATAAATAATGTTAAAATGTTCATCATCATATATCACTAACGCAGAATTTGGGTACATAGTGACTTTTAGAGCAAAATTTGCTCTGCACGCTCATATATAACATTTTTTAGGGAGTACCAAATAGAGGGCCATTTTAGCATGAAAATTTTACCGTATAAATAGCATGTATGCGTATCATTAGATTAATTAGGAAATAGTTTCGTGTGGAAATGACAGCCTATGTTTAGGAACTCTCCTAAAAAGTGTTATATATGGATGTGTAGAGCAAATTTTGCTCTACAAGTCATTATATGGTCAAATTCTGCGTTAGTCATATATATATGATGATGGATATTTTTGTATCGTATTAGTTATATTTTGCATTAAATTTGTGAATTGCTAATCTCTTCAACATTACAATTTATAGAGAATCTTTTATTATCGTAGTAAAGAAATCAACTATGTTCTATATGATTTGAAACATGAAAATCGATATAAATATGTCAAATATACAGTAAAATCATTCTCATATATGTATAAAGTTAATCATTATTTCAATGAATAATAATAGAAAATTTTGTTCTACTTACGAAGAAATTTTACTGGTTCTCCAATAGTACTATCGTCTATTGGTGGTATAATAAGAATTTTTTTTGGATCATAAGATTTAACAGAAAGTGGACTTCCAGGTATTGAATAACCATATAATATCAAATGAATTATATATGTTCCTATTTCCGACGGTGTCCAATCAACTCGTAATCCATCTGAAGTTAAAAGTGTTGATGGATTTAATTGTTCATTTGTCGGTGTAAATATAGTAACATGTAAATCAGATAAATCATTATGTAATATATCAATTGTAAACCATGTTTGAGTACCAACTAATATTGGATTAAGACTAGGACCACGAATTTTTACATTATCAGATGTAATAACTTGACATTGTCTTGGAAATCCTATAATAACAATAACAAAAAAAAAACACAAACACACAAGTCATTATCAATTTATTGTTTATTAAAGATTTTTATCTACCAGATACTTGATGTCCATTAAATTTAATAGAAATCATATGAGATTCATTTAATAGTGGAATAAATGTAAAATGAAATTTTGAATTTCCTAATGGTTTTACTTGTTTTGGTACTTGACCATTATTAATAGAAACTTCAAGTTGACCTTTACCAGCTTTTGATACATCAATAGTAAATTCTACTGGTCGATTAATTATTAATAATCTTGGAATATCTGATATAATTAAACGATTTGTATCATAAGCTTGAATTGAACTTGATGAACCATATATCTCCATTTTTTGATTCAATTGAACATTCACAAAATGTAAACCTGATGAAAAAAGAAAAAAAAAAAACGAAATAAATAAATAGGGATAGATGAAAGTCAGACTAATATTTTTCTTTCATGGTCTTTTTATCTGATTTGTAGCACATATATGTAGGTGTGTTTATATGCATATCAAACGATGATAGAAAAGAGAGATGTGCCATTAAGGTATATAAAAGATGAGCGTATATGACGATACGCGTGTGGGTCCTTGATTTTATATACTACTAGTGAATCGTATGTTACATCAATCACTAAACGTAGAAAATTAATTTCCTTTTTTTTTTTTTCTTTTTTAGGATTTAGTTTGAATGAATTGAATTTTGTCAAGTATCATACGTTAATTATGTTCAACAAAGTGTATGTTAAACAATAACTTACTTTGATCACTTTATTCTCTTTTGTACGAATATCGATTGACATGTTGACTTAGTGTTTTATGTCAATATATTATCTGATCGTACATCAATTTCATTGAAAATATAATCAAATACAGAGATTCGTTTTTATTCGAATGTGATCGCTTAAAAAGAGACAAAATAACTTGATGAACTTTTAAATTGAAGAAGAAAAAAAAAAGAAAAGAAAAGAATCCTATATTGATAAAATTATCAAAATAAATATCGTTATTAAGTATATTAAAATCGACTGATAGCGATTGATTATTAATATCAAACGCAAAAATTTATAAGATGTACGAATCATTATGTCATGATGTACGTACGGACGCATCACAAACTATACTATGGTCACATTTACACATGCATAAAATATTACGCATATTCACGCTTAATATTGTCGATGCATTTGTAGTGAGTTCACACTTGTATATGTAAAACAATTTTAGAATGATCTAAAAAAGAAAAAACGAAGTGCATGAATACGCAGAAGGTTTTTTTTTCTCCACAGATAAGATTCGAATATACATAATGAGCTTAATAAGATGAAGTTCATCATCAACTTACATTAGAAGTGCAATAACAACTGATGAATATAATGTGATCATCTGATAACTACTAGGCACGTGTGCACATGTATATTAATAATGAATATATGCAGTGAATAAGACTTTTGAGTCAATATAGTGTGAATAACTATTGTCTTGTATTTTGTGCACAACAATTACAAATATTTGAAATAACTGGCATCTTCATGTATAAGATATGTGACGATGACTTGAAACAAATAATTTGCAAGTAAACGCAAGTTTCTGCAAATACACATGGTTTTTAAGTTTTTCGCACTTGATTAAAAAATTTTATATTATTCACATTTATAAAAATAACAAAGTCGCTGAAAAAAATTTGACATAAAACATATGATAATCGATATTCTACATTTGTTCGTATTACTACTGGTTGGAAAACAATTATTAGTATGACGGATAGGAACCATATTGAAATACATTATATAGAATTTGTGTATTTTGTACATTAATATAAAATGGATTAACATTGAATGGATTATTGTTTATAAGTTTATCACCAAAAAATTTATTATATTAATAGATACACTTGATAAGTTTCATTCATTACATAATTAACTATTATGATGATAAATGACTTACATATGACATGTATACATGTTAATTATACAAACTATGACGTCTATTGATAACAAATGAACTTGAAATAATTAGTTAAGTTTGATAATATTTCACTGGTGAATTTTTCTTGTTTAGATTTATTTATTCATTTGGTTTTCTTATCATGATCTTGATTTTTGATTAAAAAAAATGATAATAACTGTATATATATATATACTCGATATGAAATATAATCAAGATGAGACAATATGAAAAAAATAAAGAATTATAAAAAAACAAAAAGAAAAATTTTTTATTCTATTTGACATGTATATTGATCTGTCTTAACGAATAAAATTTTATGGTTATTATAGATCTTTATATGCATACATATTGATATCTATTATTATAAAGATAAATATTAATCAATCACTAGGTAAAGTATATTTGATTTTATTCAAGAAATATATTATATGTAGTGTTCAATATTATCCGTAGTATTCTATTCTAAAAAATCCTTGTAAAAATTTCCTACAATTGACAGTTGGTTAAATGATTGATCACCAGAAGCTTTTCTTCAAAAGATTTTTTTTGCTTTTAATTGGAATCAGTATTTTTTTTCTGTCACTACGAACTCGAAAAGTTTACATTTCGATGAATTTGAAAGTGATCATTGTGAAAGTCTTTTTCTAATGAATACTATCGATTGATACTCAAACTGATTTATTATGTATCATCAACTGTTTCGCTAGTCTCAATCCTGTTTATTTCTTGAGAAAATCTGAAAGAGTCTATCTCGAATCTTAGTGATTCCTACTGACAGCATTTCTCATGGTTGAACAGGATTTGTTCAAGTTCCTGTTCAGACAGTTTTTCGAATTTAAGGGAACTGGATTCTACCACGATTATAGTCAAGATCTGTTCTTGGTAATGATACAAGAATCTAGTCAATAGTTGAAATTATATTAGAGACGAATCTTAACAAGAATAAAACACGATTCGTTAGAGTTCTAAATGAGTAACTCCTGTTAAATGTTGATCGACATCCTATTCTGAATTTTTCAGAAACAACCATTTTCGTATCATTACAAGACAGTACTAGAATTGTGATAGGAAAATAAAATAATCTAGTTTAGATTTCATTTTTCAGGATCAATTATAAAGATTTATAATTGATTCTGTTCAGGATCTGCTCAAGATTTATAAATTTTTATATCAAAAGATGATTTTTAATATTAATCTTAAGAAAAATCTCAACAGGATGTGCGAATTAAATATTAATTTCCGTTGAATTAAGATATACCTTACATATCATTATAAGTGTAATTTTATCATGAAACTAAATCTTGACAATCAATGTAATGATTTTTCTACACTTGAAGATTTAATTGTGAATTATTTGTTGTTTTGTTTTTATTTCAAAGAACTGTTCTTACAAGTATTAGCTCCAGTTATAACCAATTTATCAATCAATATCGCTAAAAAGATACAATTCCTATCCAAAAGGAACAAACATTGGTTGCATGTTTTTGACATTCATACATAAACGACTTAAGACATCAATCAATTTTTATTAAAGCATGAAGTCTTCTCTGTCCTATGTCGAATGTTCTTGTCAAAATGATATCTAGTAACGACAAATTATTATTCGTACAAAAGTAATCTGCCTTATGTATTGAAATCAAGGTATACTTAATCTTTTCAATGACAATCTTCTCTAGAATAATTTCGAGAATTTTAAAAGTTTCAATAATATATGAAGATCTTCTTAGTTAGATATGTAATTTTTTTAACATCATGATCTAAAAGAAATTATTATAGATATGTATATGATGAAAAAAAAGAAAAAGGCGTATGTTATTTATTTAGTCATTTTTTTTAAAAAGTTTACTTGCTTCATATGAGTTCTTTTCTATGCAATATTAATGAAAAAGATTTATTTATAGAAGAATTTATTGATTATAGATAGAAATCCAACGAATATTTAACAAAAAAAAATTCAATTTATTAAGATAAGTTTAATGTGATTATAACAAGAGCGATGAGTTCTTTTGATTTAGAACCAAATTTTGCAGCATGTGAACTAGATAATAACTTGACGATTAAATCTATATTATATTTTCTCTATTTTATTTACCCAAGCAAACAAAAAAAAAACATACGACGGGTGCGACGAGCGGTCGAAAATTTGATATATATATATTTTGTACGTTCTGTTTCAATTTCGAGGACTCGGACACTGCGTCCTATCGACGACTTATTTTCGACTCGTCGCATATATTTCGACACCTCGGTACTCATCGAAGTTTCGAGTACTCCGAGAGAAATCACTTATCGAAATAATACTATCGACTCCTCTAACATATTGAAAGAATCATTTTGAGTGCTTCAAAAGAGTAAAACCGATCATCATAACAGTTTCGACAGAGGAGTCTATAATCTTAATCAGGTGAAACTTCAAAATCCGATTTTGGAATATTCTTCATTTTTATTCAAAAACTTTAGTAATATTATTCGAGTTTGCTTCGTAATTCACCTTAATTTCTGAATTTTCTGATCAAAATTGATCGTCCAATAATTGAAATTAAAACTAAAATTCGCCTGCTTTTTTGACTAAGACATAGTTATAATGAATATCCACGTTGTGAATTTTTAAAAAAAATTACTAAATATTGGCCTCATGCTTCCACGTGCAAATTGGTCGATTTATCACGTATTGCACGTCATATTTATTTAATAAGTGATTTATACGGAATCTGAAAGAAAAAAAAAAGTTCTTCTGTCACTTATAGAAATATAAAAAGTTTTCCTTCTTGATGAGATCTTTTTCATGATAAAAAAATTTTTCTTGATTAAAAACATCATTTTTAGTGTTCCAAAAATAATCCTTTTTCTGGATGAAAAATATTATTTTTAATTTTCAAAAAATAAAAACAAAAATCAAAAAGTATAAGTACTATCTTCTTATGAACTAAAAAGGTCGTTTTTATATACGAATAATAGTTCATATTTAGATCAATGGTTCGATGCAAGTGAATCGTAAGTACCTATGTTCAAATCTAGTTCATCGCATATGTTTGATAGGACTCGACCGACTCGAAATCCATATTCGATGGGTTGGAACAGCTCGAAATTGAGACATCTATCGGATAAAAATTCTTTTTTTCGATGAAATTCCGATCCATCGAAAATGACTTTTCGAGTGGTTGAAAATGCTAGTAAAAACAACCCATCGCTGAGCCCTCGACCCATCGGAAAATGGCACTCCCAGGGGTCGATTTGAAATTTCGATGCCTAACGGAAGCCAAAATCGACGCGTCGAAATACCTATCGAATGGTTGGTTGGATATATTGACAAGTACATCTAATTCTCTTCTCTAATACAAAAAAGCTACTTACCAATATATCTTAAGAGCTTTAGTATTTAAATAGAATGTTGTCGGGTATCTTTCAAATTCAAATGGTATAAAATAATTTATCAATGAAGATAACGATTGCCATTGACCTGTATTCACTGATAAGATACAATTTTAACATATCAGTCAAATGCACTAATTTGAATAAGTTTCTTTGTACAACAACTAAAAAAATTCTCGCTTCATTTTTATGTGAATTATTATCAAATTATGAAAACAAAGTTTTAAGCATACTGTAATGTAGAATTCAAAATTCTATTTTATTATTCAAATGATACTCGCAAAAAAAAAGTTTTAATTAATGAAATAATTCTTTTACTTTTATCTAGTTGTCAAAAAATCTGATTGACATTTTAAAAAAATTGATTTTAAGTTAACATTGATTAACTTGATACAACATGAAATAGATATGAGAATTTTTCTTTCGTTTAAATAATGCACGTGCTTGATATAACAGAGTATAAAAACAAATATCTTCCGTTATCTACAAACTCATCTACATTCTACTTTTAGCAAATAAGTATATAACTGCTGAAAGTATATTTTCATTTATCAAAA